TTATCAGGAAATGTGCAGAATTAAGAAAAATTAATGACACAAAGAAGCAAACAGCCACATCCAAAATGTGGGAAATTTTACTGAAGTAATGCCCTCATATCCTAACTAATATATATCAAGAAAGTTAAAACCATAATCCCACATATTAAAGACTTAAGAGACATATAAATCAAATTCAGTGGTACCTCAGTACTCATTAATTGGTTCCAGAAGGTACAACCCATACCAAAAGTGAGGAGAACCAAACTGGGCTGGAAAAAGTAGCAGGTCAGAAGGCAATCAATAGGACAAGTTCTAGCTTCCATGTTGAGCACCAAACTATGAATATTGAAACTAAGTTTTTGCCTCAAAATGCATCAGTACCAAATTTGATGATTTTCAAAGCAGTTGAATCCTAAGATATAACTGTACAACAGCATCAATCCACTGATGAAGGCAGAGCCTTCATGATCTAATCACCTCTTTTTTTTTCTTCAGTAATGGATTGAACGCAGGGTCTTTGCACTGAACTATATTCCCAGCCACTTTTCTATTTTTTGTTTTGAGACAGAGTCTTGCTCAATTATTAAGTCACCCAGGCTGGGCTCAAACTTCGAATCCTCCCTTGTCCACCTTCCAGAGTACAGTACTGGGATTATAGATATCACCACACCTGGCAAAGGCCCCACCTCTTAAAGATCCCATTGGGGATCAGGTTTCTAACCCATGAACCCTCGGGGACACATTTATGCTATTGTACCTTTCAACAGATAAAAAGAGTTTTACCACAATTCTTCAATTTCAACCAAACTTCTGTAATGTTGCTGAAGTCATATGTTAAGATTTATGCCTCCAAGTCCACTCATCAAATTGGGCTGTTGTCAGTGATTAGTCATTCATTGTCTACAATAATACAGCTTTCATATTCAAGATTTTAAATTGTTTTTCATTTGTAAACAGTAAAATAGAACACAAAGAATATTTCAAGTGCTGCATTAAAATTAGTTTTTGCTAATAGGGCAGTGTGTTTCTCCTAAGGTAATATTTTCATGTTAACAGGGGCCTCCTGGGAACAGTCCTTTTATTCAACTTTTCTAAAACTAAGTTCTGCGGAACACCAGTACTTAACTGTACTTGAGGGAAATGGTCTTGTCAAAAAAGCATGGGAGCTCTGTATACCATATTCCTTTGGGAGAAAAATCACATCAAGTGCCTATCAAAAGACTAACCATGGGGCCAGGGATTTAGCTCAGTGGTTCTGCCGCCTGCCTTGCAAGCGCAAGGTCCTGAGTTCTGTCCCCAGTACCACAAAAAAATAAAATAACAAAAAAAGACTAACCATGTTTATCTAAACCAGTGTATCACAGAATTTTAGACATAGCTATAGAACTCGATGATTCCTTTTTTAAAAAATTCTGATTCCTTTTTATGTGTGTACTAGGCATCAAACTCTAGGCCTTATGCATGGAGGTGCTAGGTAAGTGCTTTACCACTGGGCTACATCTCCAGGCCTCTTATTATCACTTACAGATGTTCTGCTTTGGCAGATGCTGGATGCTGCCCATAAGTAGAAAGATTTCAAGGACTGAAATTTCAGCATCATGGCAGATGTATGGTTACTTTTATGACAAAGAAAGTGACTATATGCTATGCAACAGGGTGCTTGCTTTTTTTGAACTTAAAATGGTGCTTTTTGTGGGTTGGTGGTGTCACTCAGTGGTAGAGTACTTGCTTCACATGCAAGTGATGCCTCACATTAGAGTCTGGGTTCAATCCTCAGTACCACAAACAAACACACACACACACACACACACACACACACACGTGCTTTTTAATGGACTAGAAAACCCACTAGCCCTACCTATATATACAATGTATATATACTTAAATCTTTTACTGATCAATATTTGGGTTACATACAATTTCTTGCTGAAAAATGCCTTATCAAGTATCTGTGTTTCTTGCTATATATAGGCAAGAGTTTTTCTAAGATATAGTAAGTTCCTGATTTAAGAACAAGCTCTGTTCTGGGAGAATTGTTTATAAGTCAGATTCATTCATAAACTGACAAAGTGAGTCTTATACAATACACCTATGAAAGTTCACAACTTGAATGTTCTTAAATTGGAACTTAACTGTATTCATCAAAAAGTGAGATTATCGGGGCCGGGGATTTAGTTCAGTGGTTTCCGAGTTGGATCCCTGGTACCAAAAAAAAAACCAGTGAGATTATTCTGTCACAGTTTACATTCACTGTCAACCTCGCTAGACAAATTGCCATAAAAGTGGAGAGTATCATTGTGGTGCCATTTTACAATGCCTTCCACCAGTGAAATATTTCCTTATAATCCCTAAGTCTTAATATTCTTCTTACTTAATAATGAGTCAAACATCTTTAAAGATCTGCTTCATGGCTAAACAATATAACTTGTTAATTCATGTCTTGCGTGTGTTCCTTTTATTTAAAAATTTATGTTAAGAATTGTGATAGTTTTAAAACTTAAAATTCCAGATAGTAATCCTTTACCTGTTATGAGTGATGGACTTAATTCTTGCAGGTTGTGGCTTATGTCTGTATTTATGGTGATATCGCCAAATGAAAATTTTTAAAATGGGTACAATCACAGCTTTCATTATGATTATGAAAGATTTCAAAATGTCAAAAATCTTTTTGGTTTTTACTAGACTTTTGGTTTTGTAGGCAATCAACTCTGTCAACTACAAATTGTAATTTTGTATTTTTTCTGAATATTGGTAGTGATTGTTTTATTAATTATTTTATTATAATAAAAGAACTTCCAGAGGAAGACTTAGTATTGTGGTGATAGCAGGCATAATCATTTCTCCCAATTTAATGGAAATCATTTGGTGTAATGTTTAGGGTTGAGGTAAGTAGACTTTGTTTTGTTTCACTTGTCTCCCATAGTCTCTACTTAACTTTTTTAAAAATAAGAAATGTCTAGGTGCCATTTTAGCCCATTGATGTAATTTTTTTCTCCTTAAATTTGTTATTGTGATAATCTATACCATAGTCATTAAGGCAGTATAGTATTGGCACAAGAATGAATAAATAAACCAATGGAACAAATAAAGAGTCCTGAAAAAGACATGTGTATATGCATTCATCTCATTTATGACAAAGACTTCTTTGCAAATGTGCTTGGAAAATGGTGATCGTTTCAATAAGGAGCATTGGGTCAGTCACATATCTATATGAATACAAAATTACTCTTGACCCTTATATTACAAACAAATCAGTTCCAAATACATTAGCACTTTAATTATAAAAAGTAAAGCAAAGAATCTCTGGAGCCATGGAATGGCAAAGATTTCTTAAACAGAACAAAAAGCACAAATCATACAGGGAAAAAAATGGAAAGTTTTACTTTTTAAAATTTAAGAATCTATTTTCACCAAAAGACACCATTAGAGTGAAAAGATACACAAAGTGGAAGAATATACAGTATTGACAATATATATATTTGACTTGTGATTCATCTAGAATATGTGAAAAACCCCTATCAATGACAGAAAACCAAATAGGAAATGGAAAAAAGCTGGATATCTAAATGGCCCAAAAGATGAAAAGATGCTCAAATTTACTATCAAGGAAATAGTAAAATTAAACCCAAAAAGTGTTACACTACACATCAGAAGAGCTAATGAAACAATGTATGCCAAGTGCTTCTGTACAGTGTATGCTTACAGTGTGCCACTGCATGCTCCAGCCTGTGCTAATGTGATACTATTAAACACAAGATCCGCAATCTAAAATAATTCCAAGAAGCAGTGTCAGGGGTCCCGAAGGGGGAGGGACTTATTTAGAAAAGAAAGAAAGAAAACAGTGAGGCACAGGGGGTCAGAGCTTCAAGGAGCAAAGACCAAGATCTTTATTTGTTCCTCCTTTTATATCTTACACAGTGAGCTGCTACATATCACTAGTCACGTACTGTCAGTGCAGAACAGGCTACCTTATTCACAGAAGAAGTTAAAACATTACAGAGATTACACAAATGGAAACAGTAGATTCTGTTCCCAGAGTCAAGCTATTGCAAGGCATACATTAAATAAACATTTTCAAGGAGACATTCTTTCGTTATCTACAAGGTGCAAGGAAGCACCTAGGACAGTGAGTGCACATCCAGGAGATCATCTTTAATCACTTGTCGCTGGGCCTTCCCAGCAACTCTGTGAATACACCCACAGATCACCTAGTGGTCCATCTCTTGCACCAAGACAATTCCATCAAAGCAGATAGCCAATTATTACCTTGCTAATTAAGAAAATGTCAGGCAGCCAGGGATTTAGCTCAGTGGCACCACGCCTGCCTCGAAAGCGCAAGGTCCTGAGTTCGATCCCTAGGTTCCAAAAAAAAAAAAAAAGTCAGATATTCATAAGGACTATCAAGAAAAAGGATTTGGGGAAGGCAAATTACTAGAGGACAATTCACTTATTTCATAAGTATAAACCATACATTGGTAATAGTACAAATTTTACGCATGAATATGATAACACTGAAAAGGGAGCTATGGGACTGCGTCTATGAGATACTAAAAGATACTACAATAAAAACCCTCTGTAATCGAAACAGTTCATATATGATTAGAACAGAAAGTCCAAAAATAGACCCAGATATATGTGGAGTTTTAGTATGCAAAGGGGTATGAAGAAATGACACTTCTCTGAATACAGAACTCAGCTGGGCATGGTGGTGGAGGGCTGCAATCCCAGCACTCTTGGAGGCTGCGGCAGGAGGATCTCAAGTTCGAGCCCCAACTGGGCAATTTAGAGACTTGGCGAGACCGTGCCTCAGAATAAAAAAAAAAAGAAAAATTTAAAAATGAGGGACTAGGAATGTAGGTCAGTGTGAAGGGCCTGGGTTCAATCCATATTACCGGGGGGGGGGGGAAGCTCACTGAGGGCGCCTAGTTGAACATCCTCGGTCCTCACGCCTTGAAACACAGCCCGCGAGCTCGCGCCCCCCGCCCCGGCTAACTTCCGCGCTTGTGCACTCCTCTTACCCCGCCCCTGCGGCGGACTACATTTCCCACGAGCACCAGCGCAGTTTCCTTCCGGTTTCCTTTCCGCTGTCTGCTCCGAGAGGTGAGTTGGTCGCGTGCACTGAGGAAATGGGCGCGGGGGCGGCGCGGGGGCGGCGCGGACTTGTGTGTCAGTCGGAAAGCAGCTGCTGTGGAATTTGTGATGCTGACTGGGCACCGGGTACCCTCCTGCGGCCTCTGTTCTCTCGCTTCAAGGCCCAGAGGCCCGGAATGGCTCCGAGTTAGATGTATGTACCCCTGAGCGAAGGCCCCCAAACAAAAAGACACAATCCTGAGAACGACTGCACACCTTAGCAGCTCTCCCGCCGCACGAAGTCAGTGAACTCGCAGACAGGTTACAGCCTAGCCTTCGGTTTCTTTGGCCTTTCTCCCGGATACTGCTATTTCCAGCAGGTTATGTATGTAGAAGATGGGAGCAACTGTGGTAGTGAGGATGCGTATCCCGAGTCATATGGACTAAGCTCCAAAAAGAGGCCACGCAGTTTCGATTTTCGCCCTCTTTTCCAGTCCTGGTGATATTTAGGAAGGTGAGGGGAAATGAAGAAAATAAATGATTGCTCTTACATTCATTATAAACGAACGTCATAATTACTTTCCACCTTGTTCCATGAAATGTAATTTTTATTTTTCGGGAATGCGGATATTTGCTTCCCTTTTCTGTGGAAGAGTGCGAATCAGCACGGACTGAAAAGAGAAGCATCAGCCTTGTCATTAATTAGGATAGGAGAGAAGAAACAAATAAAGCTGCAAAATTAATGAAAACATTATTTCTCCTTAGGTTATATTGCAGTTGTTAAATGTCATAACTTCCTCAGAGAGATTACAGATTTCCTACCAATGATGCTCCAGACCTGCTTTGCTATTTTTATTGTATTACTGGGAATTCTTGTTTTCTAAACCACCTTCTTGATAACACTCAGGATAGCACTGCAGTTTATTTCACCTCTCCTATTCTCACTTTAGAAACAGCAGTCATTCCAGACCCTCACTGTCCATAGATCCTCTTCAAAATCCTTTAGTTGGCAGTCAAACCTATACAAAAGAGCTCTTTTCCTCCTTCTGGTCCATTGTATTCCAATGGTTCCTGTGCAATTTCCTCCCGTTCTGAGTCAATAAATATGATTTTGTCACCTAATATAGGCTTGTTTCAGTTAATATTGAGTTTGTTTAGAGTGTAATACCTAAAGTGATCTGTCCAGTGAGCTGGTGCTTTGGCCTTTTTCCCAGTGAGTGATGAGGTGGTGAAGGTAGATTCTATACACATCCTTTCTCTTCAGTGGGTAGTCAGTCACATGAACAGTTGACAGGCATTAAATTTCTCCTGTGAGCTGTGTCTTTTGAATCATGTAAATAGTCTACAGGTAAACCCAAAGAGAGGCTAACTTTATAGTTATATTTTACCTTGTAATTTGGAGAGGGGATTACAGTTTAAATGATTTCACACTCTAGGTGTCTGATCTCTGATGCCCTGAGTTAAAAGTGGGAAAATATAATGGTTTGACTGGTGACAAGGACTTCTGCTTTTGAGACTTGTTAAGAGTGGTAATGTGATAGAGTTTTTAGTGGAGAGGTCTATTAAGTGTTAGCAAGGGAGGGAACTCTTACAAGAATGGGAAGATAGTGAAAACTTGCAAAATGGTTTAAACATGTTTGACAGCATGAGTTTGGTTAGGACCGCTTATTTATGTGGTCTTTTGGGAGGCAGTTTAATACGGTGACAGTAGTGTATATTATGGAGCCAAATTACCAGGGTTCAAATAGTAAACCTGCCATTTAGGGCTGGGCTAGCTTCTGGCAGTTTATTTCATCTCTTTGTGCTACAGTTTCATCATCTATAAAATGAGAATAATTATAGAACCTACTATATAAGATTATTCTGAATAAATCAATATTTTAAAACCTAGAGCTGGGGGCTAGTGGTATGGCGCTCGCCTAGCTTGCATGAGATCCTGGGTTTGATCGCCAGCACCAAAAAATTTTAAAATAAAATAAATAGGGCCGGGGATTTAGCTCAGTGGTGCAGCTGCCTGCAAAGCTCAAGGTCTGCAGTTCGATCCCCGGTACAAAAAGTAAATAAATAAAAAATAAATAAATAAATTGTAAAATCCATAGATAATGCTTGGCATGTAATAAGTATTCAGTAGGGGGCCGGGGATTTAGCTCAGGGTTTCGCCGCCTGCTGCGCAAGCGCAAAGACCAGAGTTTGATCCCCGGTACCAAAAAAAAAAAAAGTATTCAGTAGATTTGTTACTATTTTATTTTAATTCCATGTTTTTCCTTATCACACAGATCCAAAAATTATGAGTATTTTGCCACATTTGCTTTATCCATCCATGTATCCTTTTGTAAATTGTTGATAATCAAGAACTATCTATTGGCAGGTGTGGTGGCACGCACCTGTAATCCTAGCACTCAGGAGACTGAGGCAGGAGGATCACTGTGAGTTTGAGGCCAGCCTGGGTTACATATGGAGTTAAGGACAGCCTGAACTGCCTAGTGAGACCCTGTCTCAAAAAAAAAAAAAAAAAAAAAGAACTACCTGTCAAAGTGATGCTTTACGGTTTATTAATTAGCATTATAAGAAAGAACAAGGTGGGCTGGGGATTTAGCTCAGTGGCACTGTGCCTACATCAAAAGCGCGAGGTCCTGAGTTTGATCCCCAGTACCGAAGGAAAAAAACCAAGAAAGAGCTAGGCTGAGAAGCCTTTTTTTCTTGTAATACTAGGGATTGAACATAAGGCCTACTCACTAAGCTACATCCCTAACCCTTTTTAATTTTTTGGTTTTGAGACAGGGTCTTACTAAGTTGCCAAGGTTGGTCTTGAACTCAACAATCCTCCAGCTTCAGCCTCCAAGAGTGTTTTTGTTTTTTTTGTACGGGGGATCAAACTCAGGACAATCGAACTCAAGAAGATCGAACTCAGGACCTTGAGCTTGTGAAGCAGGTGGCAGAACCACTGAGCTAAATCCCCAGCTAAAATGGAGATGGCACCACTAAGCTAAATCCTCGGCCCTTTGTTTCGTTTTGTTTTGTTTTGTTTTGGTACCGGGGATTGAACACAGGTCCTTGCATTTGCGAGGCAGGTGGCGGAACAAGAATGTTGAGATTATGGGCATGTGCCACTATGCCTGGCTAGAAGCCTATTTTTTAGTGGCGTGGAGAAAAGACAAAGAGAATTTTCTTTATAAGAAGGCTATGTAGTATTCTTCATCTTAAGTGATATGGCTTTTATTAAATAGTTTATTAAGTAGCTTATTTGCTACTTTAAGTCTTCTATATTTAGTATCCTATTAGTCCTCATAACAACCCTTTGAGGTAGAAAGTATTCATTACCATTTTATATAGGAGGGAAGCAAAGCATCGGAAAGTAACATGTCTAAGATCACAGAGTTAACGACTGTTAGAGCTGACATTTCTATCCTGAAAGTCTGACAGCAAAATCTATATTAGTAATTGTAACAGTATACCAAATCTCATTATTATGTATGCTTTAAAAGTAACTCCTCTCTTGGGCCGGGAATTTGGCTCAGGGGTGCCACTGCCTGCCTCGAAAGCGCAAGGTCCTGAGTTCCATCCCTGGTACCAAAAAAACCCCCTCCTTTCTTATTTATTTATTGAGACAAGGTCTTGCTCTGTTGTCCAGGATGGTCTCAAACTCTGGGCTGGTCAGTCCTCTGGCCTCAGGCATGTTCTGCTGTGTCTAGCTTATAATTTTGGTCTTTTTAATTTGATTGATTGATTCATTCATTACTGTACTTGTAATTGAACTCAGGGCCTTTTCACTGAGCTACATTCCATTTTTTATTTTGAGAGAATGTCTTGATAAGTTGCCCAAGTTGCACTTGAACTTGCAATCCTCCTGCCTTAGCCTCCCAGAGAGCTGGAATTACAGGTATGTGCCATTATGCCTGGCTTAAAATTTTTATTTTGATGATGGTAAATGCAAAATGAGAGTAGACGGACAAGAAACTCCAAAAGCTGTTGGCGAGCTGTATAGGCATGTTAGCCAAAAAGACTTATTCAGAGCAAAATAGACCCATTCAGGAGATGAAAAGGGAAGCAAGCATACAACTGCCATCAGTGTGTAAAAGACATCAGCAACTTTTTGCCCTTACTTTCTAGGAAGTATACCAACATACCTGGGCAGATTAAATCATAGAGTTGGACATATCTTCTAGATATACATGTGATTTTTTTTCCCTGTCAAAATAGTTTCACACTACACTTGCTGGTGTTTTCTTGTTTTGTTTTTTAAAACACACTGACTTCACCCTTATCACACTGATGCTCAGGATTCAGATCTCCAGTATGATTTGAATCCTGTGTGTCAGTGTGCTCAGAGGTAGAACTTTGGTGTATAAAAATGCTGAGGCTCAATTGACAAGTGTAGAAAGCACCTGTCACATAAAGGTTTTCAATGAATTCTGTTGGCTAATTGCAGACATTGTGAATCAACACTTACACAGGTTGGACACCAAAAGAGGGAGTGGTAAAGGTTGCCATGGTATGAGAGGTCGTGATTGGGAAACTGGAATGGTGACTTATCCTAGCTAGGGAAAAACAGTGCGGCCTTGTCATAGAAAGGGGTGCCAGGCTCTAGCTATATGGTTTTTAGTCTTTGTCTTTAGAAAAACTCTGGTCCATTTTCAGGACCAGATCAACATTGTTAAATGGAAATCTGGTCAGATCAAGTTCATTATTGCTCACCTGGGTTTCTTCAGAGCATGGATTTCTTCAGGCCCCCCTATACTCCATTTCAGTTTTATGAGGGTATGGGATAAGCATGGGTGCAGCAGTGAGGAGTAGTTTGGAAAAAGAAATGAAAAAGAAAAAATGCTCATATCAACATAAGTCATTTGGGGAGCTCTTAGGTACATATGGCTTCATAGCCATTTATTTATTTATTTATTTATTTATTTATTTATTTATTTATTTACCCATGCCCTGCATGGTACTCAGGATCATGGCTGGTTTTTTTTGGTTTGTCTAGACTCTGCAGTTCTCCAACAAAGAAATATTGAAGAGGACTGACCAGTTCTTGGTGTTCTAAAACCATGGCTGATGTAAGTTAATGGTGGTTTTTCCTTTTAAAAAATATTGTTTATCTCTAATATTGTTAATTGTACATATTCATTAGTTCTCCTAAATTTTCCATTTTTTCAGAACTCTATCAAAGAACCTGTTCCATTTTTGCCATTCTTGAAAGATTAGGGACAGATAGCCCATTGATAGTCTTCCCTTCTTCCACAAAAGTGAAATGTCTTGAGAAAAATATAGACATTCTCTGCAAAAGGTCTTTCTGTCAGCATATTCCAATGGAACAGCTTTTTATTTTAGTACTTAATTCCAGAAAAATTATATTTCTCTCAATACAGTGATTTATTGAGGGGAGAATCAAACCCAGAGCCTCATACATTCTAGGCAAGTACTCTACCACTAAAGACATACTCCCACCCAACAGTCCAATGACTTTTGATCTAGTTTTACATAGAAAAAATGTGTGTACTCAGTATACAATATTGCATTTAAAACAATTTTTTAGTGTTTTATTGGGGTATAGCATATATACAGAAAAGTATACAAATCTTAAGAGTATAGCTGAATGAATTTTCATAAATTAATTAGTACATCTATGCTTCCAAGTTAATAAAGGAATATTACTAATACCTCAGATATTTCCCCCTTCAGTCATTGCTCACCCACTCATCTCAAATGTAACTAATATCTTGACTTTGAACACCATAAATTAATTTTGCCTACTTTTAGAACTTTTTTTTTTTTATTGGTACTGGGGATCGAACTTGGGTCCTTTCGCTTGCACAGCAGGCGGCGAAACCACTGAGCTAAATCCCCGGCCCATACTTTTAGAACTTTAAGTGTAATAAAATGAATCATGTAGTTGAATGCAGTAATTTTTAAACAAAAACAACGTTTAGGAAGAATCTAGTTGTATTCCATATATAATTGCTAGACCATCAGAACCAATATATGTGTCATTAAAGAGGGCATGTATCTGGTGCTGCTAGTGATAAAGTAGGCATCAAAGCATCATAGTGAAGGTGACTATGTCCTCATTGGAAATACTTTTCTGTAGTGTACTTTTTTTTTGATCTAGTGTAGAGTTCTTAAAAATTTGGAAAAGGGCCAGGAATGGTGGTGCGTATTTGTAATCCCAGCCCTATGGGAGCCTGAGGAAAGAGGATCCACAAGTTTCAGCATAACTTGGGCAATTTAGCAACTTAGTATGACCCTATCTCAAAATAAAAGATTAGAAATGGGCTGGGGATGTAGCTCAGTGCAAAGGCCTGGGGTTCATTTCCCAGTACTGCCAAAAAAAGTTGAAAAGTATTGAAGAAAATTGTGGAGAAAGTTTCAATGATGGGGCCAGGGATTTAGCTCAGTGGTTTTGCTGCTTGCTGCTCAAGCGCAAGGACCCGAGTTCGATCCCCGGTACCAAAAAAAAAAAAAAAAAAAAAAAGATGATGAAAATACTAGTGCCAAAGACATTGCATGTGTAGTATAGTTCTATATTGGAGGAAAATGTAAAGCTAGTTGGAGGGTTGGAATTAACATACAATGCATTATAATTCTCTGATAATGGAAAAAGAGGCACCTACTTTATAATGTAGTATTAAAATGTATGATTTGGGGCCGGGGATTTAGCTCAGTGGTTCTGCTGCCTGCCTTGCAAGCTCAAGGTCCCAAGTTCGATCCCTGGTACCAAAAAAAAAAAAAAAAAAAAGCCCACATACTTTGTGGGGGCAGCTTTAAAAGGTGTGATTTTTAGGAATAGATTACTGATGTTAAATGGGAGATTTCTGTTTTGAGCTTTCCTTGAAGACCTGTGGTTTAATGAAAGAATTTGATCTTGTTTTGTACCTTATGGGGAAGCTATAAACTCTCCACAAATCAGACTTTTTAAAGTAATGGCTTGGGGTTTAGTGTTGACTAATCTTAGTTTCTCTGTGTGTTGAGATCTTATGCTATGTGAGGCTTTTAAGATTGAGTGGGTTACATAGAGATATAATCAGGGCCTTACTATATGTAAGATCTAAACTTTGATGTGCTACCCTGACATGTTTGTCAAGGCCCCAAAGCCCTAACCATGAGTTCCCCTGCTCTCACCAGATATGCCTGTCCAGTGGAAAAGGCTTTCTTCCCTCCTAGCTCCCCTATATGCTAGGCCAGTTGTATCCCTAGTCCTCAACCTCATAATTTTCACCGCTCTGGCAGCCTGTGTAATTATTCAAATGAGCTAGTCATGACTTCCTCTGGGAACCAGGGAACACTTAATCCTCTTTCAAAGCCTGCCTCCTACAACCCCTGTTATTCTCTCTGTTCCTGAGTGTGGCCTTTGTAGCCTTGAGTGATGTGTGATATCTTCCCTCAGGCTGTGAGTATATGTGACTAATAAACTGTCCAATGTCAGCTATTTGGGTGATAATGGTTTTCAGGGCAGAAGACTGTTACCTCAGCAATAGGATGGCTAGAAGGTAATCAGAACAGAGCTGCAAATAGATCAAGAATCCTCTCTAATTTTCTCTCAGAGAGAAGATAGTTAATTGTGTATTTTTTACAGGATGTGCTAGCCTAGAGCAGTATTTCTCAACCTTGGAACTATTGACATTTTGAGTCAGAGAATCCTTTATTATAGGGGACTGTCTTGTGCATTGTAGAATGTCTAACAGTATCCTTTGGCCTCTACTCATTAGGCATCTGTAACAGTCTCCCCTCCCATACTACTCATGATAACTGTATTCATGGCCAGATGTCTTTTGGGGGACAAAAAAAAATCACTGTTTCTTGAAAATTATTGATCCAGGGTACTCTTTTGATTGTTTTCATGTTTTAGTATCCTAAAGCTCAAAAGTGAGAAAAGATGCTTAATGAAGGATGATAATAAAGGAAAAGATTATTCAAATACACAAGTATTAGGTATTATAGAAAACAAGAATTACAGAAGACTTGAGATCATACTCAATTTAAACATCTAAATTTTAAAGAGAATGTAATATACTCAAAGAGGACCATTGTGCATCAAAATACTTAAAATTTACTAAAGAATTGGTTGTTAACAAGAAAAATGTTTATAGTAAAATCTCATTCTGTTGTGAACTTTTTTTTTTGGTACTGGGGATTGAACTCAGGACCTTGTGCTTGCGCTTGCACTTGCAAGGCAGGCGCATTGCCGCTGAGCTCGATCCCCAGCCCCTGTTGTGAACTTTTTTAATCTCAATTTTTTTCCTTTTATGAACTTTAGTTTACTTTCAGAGAGATTTTTATGGTGCATTTGGGAGAAATTTTTGCCAATGTGTTTTCATGATCATTAAAGGGAAAAGAGAGTGAAAGACTTCATATTTCTTTAGAATTTATAGTGGAAGTACTCAGTATGCAAAAGGCTTATGTGCCCTATTGGATTTAATCGAGATTTTTTGGTTATTTTATTCATTTCCAGATATGTTTGGATAAAAAATTTAATCTCCAGCCGTAAGACTAGTCAAGAACATGTAGGCACTGTTTCTGAAATTCTGATTTTTTGCTGTTCTCTATTCATGTCATAATTCATAAGTTTTCAGCCTATTTGCATGCTGTGACTCTGGAGTGAAGTCCTCAATCTCCTCTTTCTATTTAAGATGAATACTTAAATTATTTTCACAAGTAACTCATAAGTTCATTTTTTCAGGGTTCAGTGACATTTAGAGATGTGGCTGTAGACTTCTCACAGGAAGAATGGGAATTCCTGGATTCTGCTCAGAGGGACTTATATAGAGATGTAATGTGGGAGAACTATAGCAACTTCATCTCACTAGGTAAGGTTGTTGTTCCAAAGTATATTAGCTTTCTCTGCCACTATATTCTGAGAAACAAGCTAAATTTTTACTCTATGTTCCCATAAAGAATGGTTAGGTTGGGCCAGGATTTAGCTCAGTGATTCTCCCGCCTGCCTTGCAAGCAGAAGGACCCGAGTTCAGTTCTGGTACCAAAAAAAAAAATGGTTAGGTTAGTGATGCATGGTGGCACATGCCTGTAATCTCAGCACTCAGGAAGCTGAGGCAGGAGGATCACCACAAGTTCAAGGCCAGCGTGGGCTACATAGTGAGTTCAAGATCATCCTGGACTATACAGCAAGACCCTGTCTCAAAAAAACAAAAACAAAAACAAAGAATAGCTAGGCTTTACGAGATTGTAAATAGATTCCACTACTTAAACATTCTCAGCCTGTGGTGTCCTTCACATTTTCTTCAGATTTTGTGATTCCTGTTTCCTTTAGTATCCAAGGGGGTGGATTTGAGAATGGTACAAGTTTTGTTTTGTTTTGTTTTGTTTTTGGTACCAGGGATCAAACTTACGACCTTGCACTTGTGAGGCAGGTGCCGGTGCCACTGAGCTAAATCCCCGGCCCCTGATACAAGTATTGTTGAAGAAACTAGATATCATATTTTGTTTATGTTCAGAATTGACTCATATACTTCATATTCCTTTCTAACTCACCTAAAAGGAGAATACCTACATACTAGGCCTCTGAGTAAAAATCAAGAGATCAGAAAAGAAAGAGAAAGAATGAAAATCAAAGGAGTTTGTAGAGCATATATATAATATGCAGTGATCTACAAGCTTCATTTAAAATTCAAGTAAATACTTTTTTTTTTTCCTGTAGCAGACATACACGGTTCTATGTGCTTTGTAACTGAAAGTTAAAAACCTGAGTCAGTGATGTAGTTCAGTGGCACCATGCCTGCCTGGCAAGCACAAGGTCCTGAGTTCGATACCCAGTACCAAAAAAAAAAAAAGAAAGTTAAAAACCTAGCTGGGTTGGTGGCATGCCTATAATCCCAGCACTTGGGAGGCTGAGGCAGGAGGATCACCAAGAGTTTGAGGGTAGTCTGGACTACATAGTGAGTTCGAGGTCAGCCTGAAGTATATAGTGAGATCCTGTCTGAAAAAAATAAACAAAATCTAAGAACTTTGTATTTAACATTGAATATCCCCAAAAAGATCTGAGAATATATTAAAAGCCTCTTATTACCCTCTCAGCAAAATGATAGCAGTAAAAATAGGTAATATACATATGTGTATATGAACATATCAGTGTATATATTGTGCTTAGACACTGTTCTGAGTATTGTTCATTGTTGATTACTCCTCAGTTACTCCTTACTTATTCTTAACCTTATTTCAGATAAGAAAACTTGGGTGCAAAACTTGAAGTGCAAAAGGTTAGTAACTGACTGAGGTAATAGACGAACAAAGGCAGGATTTAAAACCAGGCAGTCTGGATTCAGAGCCTGTGTTCTTAATCACTACAAAATATTGCTTCTCAGCAGAGTCTGTGTGAGCTTAAATTATATTAAGGCCTGTTCTTAGTCACCTAGTGTCTATTTGTTCCTTATGGTCCTGAGGTTACCCTAAAGTGAATTCCTCATCTCCCTTGCATTTATTTGCACTTAGGCTTTATAAAGTCCATTTTAATTTGTAGTTAATTATAAATTTAACCAAATCTGAAGAGAAGGACTTTCAGGTTTATAATTTTATGTGATATTTTCCTTCTAAGCAGGAGCTTCTATTTCTAAACCAGATGTGATTACCATATTGGATGAAGAAGGGAAGGAACCTGGGATGGTTGTGAAGGAAGGGACAAGAACCCACAGCCCTGGTAAGTGAGAGCTAAGCAGGCACAGGGAAATCACTATGGCAGTTAATAGCTAGCCTGCTTAGAGTGGAAGTACATCTTTGAGATCCTTGGAGTTTTCTCTTCAAATACCCATAGCTGCCAAGCATGGTGGTGCATGTCTGTAATCCCAGGTATCTGGGGAGCTGAGGCATTAGCCTCCTAAATTCAAGTCCAGCCTGGTCAACTTAGTGATAACCTATCAGGGATGTGGCTCAATCCTCGAGTACTTGCCTAGCATGCACCGGGCCTTGAGTTCAATTTCCATTATGTCAAAACAAAACACAAAACACAAAACCCACGAGCTGAACATGTATATAATCTCAGCATTCATTCAAGGCAGAATTGGAAGTTTGAGGCCAGCCTGAGTTAGTGACTTAGCAAGATTCTGTCTCAAAATGTAAACAAACATAAAAAAGGGTACAGAAGGTGGTGGGCTGGGGATGTAGCTCAATGTGAAGGCCCTGGATTTAATCCTCAGTACTGGATGGAAAAAAAAAGCCCATGGGCTGTAAGGGAAAGTGTTGAGATGTGAAGTGAATTAAGAACTTTCAAGTTTGGACCAGCAGAGTCACTTTCTGTTGACCTTGGTTACACTGTTTTTCATCTCCCATGTTTGATTCCTACTTCAAAGAGAGAAGCTGTTGCCATAGAATAAAATGACAATACATATAAGAACACAAATAACAAAATAGAAAAAGAAAACCAAAAGTCAACTTCTTGAAAAGATCAACAAAGATAGTAAACACCTAGTTTGACTAATCAAAAAAAGAGAACATAAATTACTAATACAGAAGGGTTGGTTTTCATCTGATATAGCCATTTAAAGATAATAAAACCTACACTCTGTGAGGCTGAGGGATGGAGGATTACAAACATAAGCCTAGCTTGGGCAACTTAGCAAGACCCCATCTCAAAATAAAAATTCAAAAATGGCTGAGAATGTAGCTCAGTGCCAAGGCCCTGGGTTCAATTGCCTGTACCCCCCCACCCAGAAAAAAGATATGAAAAGAATTCTATGAATAACTTTGTGCCAATAAATTTAATAGCTTAAATGAAATTAAAAATTTTTAAATATAATTTACTAGAACTGACAAAAGAGAAAAATGGTAAAAAAGAACAACAGTATGCCTATTAAAGTAATTGAATTTATTATCAGAAATCTTTCCACAAAGAAAATGTCAGGCCCAGATGGTTTCATTAATGAATACTATCAAATATTTAAGAAAGAAATAGTGGCATTATTACAGTTTCTTCAGAAAAGGAAAGAACACCTAAGCTCACTTTATGAGGCCAATATAACTATCATATTACAAAGAAATTACCAGACTATAAACTTGTATTCTTCATGTATGTAGGAGTAAAATTCTTAACAAAATAATAGCACATCAAATTCAGTACCATATAAAGATGACTATCAAGTGGACCTTATACTTTCTTAATTAATGTAGTCTTGGTTTTTAATGTTGATCAATATAATTCTTCATATTAAAAGAAGAAATGAGACCATGTAATCATCTTTAATTTGTTAGTGCTCTGCCAATAAAATTACATAGAGTTAAGTGGTCTGTTCCAGGTCTGTATTTCCCATGGATTGAGTTATTTGTGGTATGTAACTTTGTAGAAGATACTGGTTTTTAGGTATACATCTGTAGTATTGTAGCAGAAATGCGTATGTTTGAGAGAGATGTAGTTCATCACTTGTAACAGGCATTGTTTTATTTCTCTGTAAAATTTTTTTTTCTTTGGGAATAGGAAAACAGAATGTGTTTGCTTTCTTATTTTCTTTCAGATTTGGAGTCCAGATGCAGGACCAATACCCAGTCTCCAGAGAAGGACATTTATGAAATATATTCATTACAGTGGGAGATAATGGAAAGAATTAAAAGCTGTAGCCTTCAGGGCTCTATTTTTAAAAATAACTGGGAATGCAAAAGCAAGATTGAGGGCCAAAAAGAACCACAAGATGGGTATTTTGGGCAGGTGAAAATTGGCTCTGAAAAAGTGACCACTTACAAAAAGCAAAATTTTCTTACAGATTATCAGAGAGTTCACAATGGAGAAAAGTTATATGAATGTAAGGAATGTAGGAAGACTTTTATTCGTCGCTCAACACTTAGTCAACATCTAAGAATTCATACTGGTGAGAAACCTTATAAATGTAAGGAATGTGGACAGGCCTTTAGGCAGCGTGCACACCTTATTCGACATCACAAACTTCATACGGGTGAGAAACCCTATGAATGTAAGGACTGTGGCAAGGCCTTTACAGTGCTCCAAGAACTTACTCAACATCAGAGGCTTCATACTGGTGAAAAACCTTATGAATGCAAGGAATGTGGAAAGGCTTTTAGAGTGCATCAGCAGCTGGCTCGGCATCAGAGAATCCACACTGGTGAGAAGCCCTACGAGTGTAAGGACTGTGGGAAGACCTTTAGACAGTGTACACACCTTACTCGACACCAGAGACTTCATACTTCTGAGAAGCTCTATGAATGTAAGGAATGTGGGAAGGCCTTTGTATGTGGCCCAGACCTTAGAGTACATCAGAAAATTCATTTTGGTGAGAAACCCTATGCATGTAAGGAATGTGGAAAGGCTTTTAGAATATGCCAACAGCTTACTGTCCATCAGAGTATTCATACTGGTGAGAAACCCTTTGACTGTAAGGAATGTGGGAAGACTTTCAGATTAAGACAACAGCTTGTTCGCCATCAGAGAATTCATACTCGTGAGAAACCCTATGAATGTATGGAATGCTGGAAGACCTTTAGTAGTTACTCACAACTTATTTCACATCAGAGCATTCATATTGGTGAGAGACCGTATGAATGTGAAGAATGTGGGAAAGCCTTCAGACTGCTCTCACAGCTTACTCAACATCAAAGTATTCACACTGGGGAGAAACCTTATGAATGTAAGGAATGTAGAAAACCTTTCAGACTGCTCTCACAACTTACACAGCATCAGAGTATACACACTGGTGAGAAACCTTATGAATGTAAGGAATGTGGGAAGGCTTTTAGACTTTATTCATTTCTTACTCAACACCAGAGAATTCATACTGGTGAAAAACCCTACAAATGTAAGGAATGTAAGAAGGCCTTTAGACAGCATTCACACCTTACTCAACATCAGAAGATTCATAACGGAATTTAATACAGAAAAGCCTTCAGATGTACATTGTCTTACAAAACACTATCAAATCCATTTTTGATAAAATTTGTTTCATGCTTACAACTAAGAATAAGAAATTTTATATTGGAGAAAGAATATGTTGCTTTAAAAGCCTCCTTTCATCATTAAAACATTGTTTATCTTCATCAGATTCCATTGAGAGAATAATGTCATGAATGTTGGAAAATATTTATCCTTACCTGTCAATGTTTTCTTTTACTACTTTATTATTATTGTGATATTAGACAAGATGTTATCATTTTGTGCATTTTGTTCACTTGTAAAATAGTGATATTAGTACAATAGTTGTATTATTTATTGCTGTGTAATAAATCACCACAAAAACTTATTTGTAGCTTAAAAAAATACATCTTTGTTATCTCATGATTTCTCTGTATCAGGAAAATAGGCATGACTTAGTTGGGTCTTTGTAGTCACAAGGTTAGCTATGACTGGCCAGTCATCTGAAGGTTTGACTAGGGAAGGATCTATCCAAGCTAACAGGGTGGATGCCCAAATTCCTTTCTCTTGGGCTGTTGCGTTGTGATTTTCAGTCTCTAGCAGGCTGTTGGCTGAAGGTTGTCTGCATTTCCTTTGCCACACTGACCTCTTCAATATGACTGCTTGCTTCATCAAAGTATGTAAGCCAAGAAGGTGGTTGCCAGGAAGATGGAAGTCTGCTAACAAGGAAGTTGTAATCTTGTATAATCTAATCATGGAAATTACATTCCTACTACCTTTGCTACCTTCTACTGGTTAGAAGTAAATTACTAGATTAGCCACTTCTCACAAGAAGGGGACTGAACAAGAATACCAAGAGACAGTGACCATTAGTGGCCAGTTTAGAGTCAGCTTGCCATGCTGTGTAATAGAATTGTTGTGAGGATGAAGTAGTTAATACTTAGAAGAATAGCAGTCACAAGAATAGCTTGTGTTCTGTAAATATTGTGTATAATTATTATTCTTCTTACTAGTATTAGTGAATTCCTTTTAAAGAAAATTACTATAGAAGTAATAAATGTAGAAATGCCTCCTGTTACATCTCAGCACTTATTAAGCTGAAAATAATTTATTTTAGGTAAAACCTAGGAAATTGTAGTGAATGAGAATTTCTTCATTACTTGAACTACATCAGAAATTTCACAGTGAATAGAACTGTATGATCTTCATGAATGTACAGTTAAGAATACAGCTGTTGGAGAATCAGAAATATGAAGTGATTTTTCCATCTATGACATAGCATCCTCTTGTCTGGCCACAGTTCAAGATTAATCACAAACTCTGAAAAAGATAGCATAAGAGAAACTACCACTTTGGAATTTAAGTTAGTGCGTGCCTGTGTGTAAAACTTATGTATAAAATAAAATATTCCATTATACTCAGTATAATTGCTCCATCTTCAATTAGTGTTTCTAGTTGGGTCTTTTGACCTAACCCCGCCAGTAGTTTGATAGTTCATTTGGTTGTGGCTGCATAATTTGGTCAGTTATGGAAAATACTAGGGTATCAACTCATCATTCTTAACATCAGTATTGGAGGGTGAGTATATTTTTTTTGCCCATGTGAGCCAAATATCAGGATCATCAAAAATTCATGAAATCTAAGTATTTCTCTTTTTAAAACTTAAATCCAACCAATAAACATAGAAAGAATAATAGGATTAGAATCTTTATTTTCTAGACTGTAGTGAAGTAATGGGTCCCGAAAATGATTTTCAGTGGATGCTGAAACTATTAAGTGAAAGATTTTGTAGAGAAAGTATCAAGCTGATCACTTCAGAACACTGGCCAATTTGAACCTCAATAAAAATGGGACTATCAGACAATATGCACCACTTGATAAAATACTATAGGAAGCACACACCACTACATATGAAGCCATATTGCAAAAATAACAGGAATCATACTTTTATTTACTTATTTATTTTTTGGTACTGGGGATCAAACTTAGGACCTTGTGCTTGCGAGGCAGGCACTGGAACCATTGAGCAAAATCCCTGGCCACATACTTTTAAATCAAATTCTTTATAACCAAGAATTTGGGGAATAGATGAATAAAGTAAATGTTAGAAGGAAGCAGCCATTTAGATCCAGAATATGTAAATTTCTGCAGAAAAGTTAACCTGATTTCATCAAGTAATAAGTAGCGTGAAAAAGAAGACAGGCAACTATTAATAATAAAGGAGACAAGAGACATGACAACTAAATTCATTATGTTAGCATTTCTTGAACCTGGTTTTAACAAAATAGAAAAGGACACTTTGGAAATAGTAGAGGAAATGTGCACCTGGACTAAGTATTAAGATGATATTTAGAAATAATTTTGTTAAGGATGATACCAACATGGTTACCAAAAAAAAGTCCTATGTGGTAGAGTTAATATACTTACGTTTTTATGAAATAAGATATGCAGACTTGCATGTCACTAGAAAATGAATTGGCAAAGACGGAAACTAGATTACTAAATGTTGGTAATTACTGAAGTGAAATTTTTCATAGTGGTTCATTGTGCTAATATTTCTACTTTTGTATGTTTGACATTTCAATAATAAAATTTTCAAAATCAAAACTGAAATTATAAGCTGTTTATTTATTTTAATTAATTATTTTGCAACACTGGGGTTTGAACCCATGGCTTTCACACTAAGCTACATCCCCAGCCTTTTTTCCCTTTTTTTTGTGGGGGGGAGGGAACAAGTTCTCACTAAATTGCCCAGGATGGGCTCAAATTTGAGATCCTCCTTCTAGAGTGTTGCGATTATAGGCATGTGGCACCATGCTCAGCTAGAAAGCATTAGTTTTCATTATCGTTTTTGGTTTTTTGTTTTTGGTGCTGGGGATCAAACCCAGGGCATCATGCAAGCTAAGTACCCATTCCTATCACTGAGGTACACCCTTAATCTAAACTATTTGAAATTAATGATAATGAGATGCCTGTACATCTAACCTCGTGAAATGTCACCAAAGTTCTATTCAGTGAAAAAATAGTGACATAATGTACTAAGGAGATTTCGTTTGTGCGCCTAATCTTCATTGTTTTCACTATCCACAGCGACCAATACAGGGCCTGTCACATAGATGAATGTGCTGGAAGGAATGAATAAGCATTTTTTTCATTTAGTGGTACATTTTAGGTATACAATATGATGACATTCATCATTGGGAATTTGTACCTTTACATGATATATCTTGGTTCTTTTTTCCCCATTCCCCTGCCCTCCCTTCAACCCCTCCACCCCTCCCTATTTACAAAGACTTTGTTTCCATTTTTTCCTTTCCCTTCTTTCTTTTCCCCTACTAAGCATTTATATCAAGAAACCAGAAATGATAAAATAAAACCAGCACAAATAAGAGAAGCCAAATACAATAAAAAGGAGAAATTAAGAGACTAAACCAGTGGTGGTAAACCTATGGCATGTGTGCTGCAACAGGCAGCTTTAAAAGGTTTGATGTCACTGGACTGGACTTGAGCATATGTTATCACAGTTGACACTGTGGAACCCAAATAGACAGATGTATTTGTGTGAACTCCCTGTTTACGAAAAAAATTGGGGTCTGGGGATTTAGCTCAGTGATTTCGCGCTGCCTGCTGCGCAAGCAAAAGGACCTGAGTTAGATCCCTGGTACCAAAAAAAAAGAAAAAAAAATTGAGGCTGGGGATGTACCCCAAGAACTCACTGGTGGAGTGCTTGCCTGGCATATGCAAGGCCCTGGGTTTGGTCTCAGAACCTTTAAAGAAAAAAAAGCATGAAGAAATATTCATACTTGTACAGTCAAAAAGCCTTTGGGAATAAGTAATCCTTATCAAGATTTAGCAAGTAATTCACAGCTAAAACAATCCTGATTAAAAACCTGGAGTACTGGGGGTGTAGCTCAGTGGTAGAGCACTTGCTTAGAACAGACATAGCCCTGGTTATAAGCTCCAGCATCACAAAACGAACAGTAAGAACACCTTGATCAAGATAACTCCTAAAAGAGCCAGGAGCGGACAGAGCCGCCTGAAGCCACTGACGCTGCCCCACCCCCATCAGGACCTAAAAGCAAAATCATTCTCTGCTTCATTTTGTGTAGTATCTCTTCCTCATATCTATATTAAGAACCCCAAATTGAAAGATGAATATTGTAGGGGACAGGGGAAGGGGACGTTACCAGAACCTCTGCAGTTAGTCCTGGTCTCCTGCGAGCCACAGCAGCACACGGCGAATTACAGGAAAGGTAGAAAAATGAGACCGAGAAGAAGCTGAGCTTTGGGTCTGATCAGTGCTGCTCTGGGCAGCAAAGAC